AGGATTAGGGAAAAAGTTTTTAAGCTTGATACCAAAAACATAATTCATAGAAGGAAAAATTGATAAACTGAACTATAGTACAATTAAAAAGTTACTTTGTGAAAGACCTTTTAGGAGGATGAAAGACAAGTTACAGACTATATGAAAATATTTGCAAATAACATACTCAAAAAAGGACTAGCATTTAGAAGATTATGTATATATATTCTCAAAACTCAACAGTGAAAAAATCCAATTAGAAAATAAAAGACAAATAAGCACATGAAAATATATTAAAACATCATCACCATTTGGAAAATTCAAATTAAAACCACATTGAGATATATCACTATACACCTATCAGAATGGCTAACATAAAATAATGAATAGTGACACCATCAAATTCTAGCAAGGATGAGGATAAACTGTATGGATCACTCATATATTCTGGTGGAATGTAATATAGTGTGGCCAGTTTGGAAGACAGTTTAGTAGTTTCTTTAAAAACTATCATGTAACTATCATATTACCCAGCAATTACAGTGGACATTTATTCCAAAGAAATGAAGACTGATGTTCACACGAATACCTATACATGAATGTGTATTTTACCTTTATGTGTAATATCCACTAATTGGAAACAACCCGGATGTCCTTTAGGTAAATGGTTAAACAAACTGTGGGACATTCATCTTATGGAATATTACTCAGAAATTAATAATACACATAATAGCCTGGATGAAATAACACAATTAAAAAAAAAAGTAGAACAGATTAATTAATCATTGCCAGGGGATAATAAGGGGGCAGAACTGGGAGCAGAGTGAGTGACTATAAAAGTGTAACATGAGGGATTCTTGTGATGATAGAAATAGTCTATATCTTGACTATGAATGTTAATATTGTCAATATCCTAGTTGTAATACTGTACTACACTTTTATAATATAATAGTGGGTACACAGTATCTCTCTATCTCTTTCTTATTTCTTAAAACAAGATAAAAATCTATAACTACCTCAAAATAAAGTGTAATTAAAAGAAAAATGAAGGCAGTCGGGCACCATGGCTCATGTCTGTAGTCCCAGCTACTTAAAAGGCTAGATGAGAGGATTATTTGAGGTGAGGATTTAATATATGAAGAAATTTTCCTTTTACTTTCCGTACTTGGCACAATACATTTTTTTTTCTTTTTTGAGTTGCAGTCTCACTCTGTCGTCCCGGCTGGAGTGCAGTGGCACTCTCACAGCCTCACTACAGCCTCAACCTGTTGGACTCAGGTGATCCTTCCACTTCAGCCCTCCAAGTAGCTGCAATCACAGGCATGTGCCACCACGTCCAGCTAATTTTTTAATTTATTTTAGAGACAAGGTCTCATCAAGTTGCCCACGCTGGTCTTGAACCCCTCGGCACAGGCGATTCTCTTGTCTCCATCTCCCAAAGTGCTGGGATTACAGGTGTGAGCCACCGTGCCCAACTGGCACAATACTTCTAAAAGTAAATCCAGTACTCCTGGGTCAACTATTTAGCACAACAAACATTTTTTAAGCATGCAATATTTTTCATTTGTAAATTGAATATGTAAAGCATCACATATCCTAAAAATGTTAGTGAATTTTGCATAAATATTATTAAATAATATTTGACATGACATAAAGATTTAATAACATCTATATTATACTTTCTATGTACAATGTTAATTTCAAATGGAAGGAGAATGTGCCTGACAATATGTTATAGGATTCAATATGTCTGAAAAATTATTTTGAGCAATATACTGACAAAATTTACTTAAACACATCTATCAATGTGCTAAAAATATATGTGTGCTCTACAGAGTGAAGTAAATAATTGTTATTTGAGGTAAGAGTAATGATCCCATTATAAAATGGAAAGGATATTCCATAAATAAGCTATAAAAAAGGATACATTTTGTTTCCTTATAAGGCCATCTTATGGGCTTTATCCTTTTGATTTTTAAGACTCACAAGAATAAGAAGTAGCCAAAATAGTGCAGAGAGTTCCAATATACTATTCACCCAACTTTCCCTATGATAACATCCTTCTACACAACTATAGTATATTATCAAAACCAGAACGCTGACATTGGTACAGTGATATTAACTAAACTAGAAGGCCTGGCTGTATTTTGACAGCAGAGGCTTATGTCTGTAACCTTAGCACTTTGGGAGGTCCCACGGCACGATCACCTGTGCTCAGGAGTTGGAGACCAGCCTGGGCAACATAATGAGACCCCTGTCTCTACAAAAATAAATACATAAATACATAACTACAATGTTTAACTAAACTAGAGACTTTATTTATTTCAGTTTGTACATGCACTCTTTTTTGAGTGTACAGTATTGTGAAATTTTATCACACATAGGTATAAAAACTGTTTTTAAAATGGTTATTTAAAATCATGTTGCTAAGTGAGATCACCCTAGAGGGGGTTTAGAGTGAGAGAAAGGGTTGAGATCAGAACCCTGCTAAATATCATAATCAAAGAATGGATCAAGGACAAGAGCAATGATGAAAAACAAGAAGAAGTGATCAGAGAGGTAGGAGAAAAATTAAGAGAGAGTGAGGCCCCAGATCCCAAAGGGGAAAATGGTTTTAAGATGAAGAAAGTGATGGCTGCAGGGATGAGGGGTAAAGAAAGAACTAAAGAGAGCCCACTGGTCCTGGCTAATTGTTCATTAATAACTTGCTGGAGTGGTTACGGTGGAATAGTAGAAGTAAAAAAGAATGAACTGGGCATGGGGAAGGAAGTAGACATCAAGGTAGCAGACAATGAAATGTCTAATGAGGTGAGTGGAGCAATGAAAGTAGAGAGAAAGAAAGATAATAAATGAGGTGACAATCCAAACAGAACTAAAAACACATAGGAGGAGAGGATATGTAGGAAGGAAGAGGAACATTTCTGATTTTAAATTAACTGAAGAGAAAACAATATATCTTCCTAATGAGTCATGTTTAATTTAGTAATTTAAATAGCTGTGACCTCCAAAATTGTTCCTTTCACTGGTATTAGAGTGAATCAGCTCAAAAAATATGTATTGAAAACCTACTCATGCTGGGCTCTTCTGTAGAAATAAAGATAGGTAAGACTGGACTGTTGATTCCTAAATAGCTTTCAATTTAATAAGGGAGATATAATTTTATACAATATTTCAGTTTAAGTTGGGGGAATGAAAAGGAGCGAGTCAAAAGAAAAGCATTCCAGGAAGAGGAAACAGCATGAGTAAAGGTACATTAAGAAAGAGTAGGTTTTCCAAGATTTAAAAGACGTGGTGGTGCGCAAAGTGTGGAGCAGCTGGAAACGGGGTTGGAGAGGTGAGCAGGGTTTTGAAGACTTGAGTAAGGACTAGGCAATAGGAAGCCAGTGAGGGGTTTTAAGCACTGAAAGGTTTCCAATACTCAAAGGGTGATTCCTGTTGCACTGTGGGAAATGTACTGAAGGAGGAAGTATGGTAAGAGATGATGGTGGCTTAACTGGGGCAGTAACGACACACATGGAAATAAATGAATAATGCTCAGACACAACGAGCTGGAGCTAGTTTGCCACTTCATGAGGCTCCTCACTGCTGGGTCCACTAATGTGCAGGCTTAGTTCTGTCTCATTCTTGAGCTAATTCTCATGGAAACAAGAACTGTACCTGTTTCTGACTCCAAATGATGGGCTAATGAGAAAGTGATGACGGTCCTGATTTGTTGCACTTTCATAACCAAGTCCTGATCTAGTACCAATGCTAATCTTATCATGTGGAACCTGCATTCGAACACCTAGATTCTGTTTTAGTTCCTGTTACAAGTGACTGAAACTTGAGAATCGTGAGAGTCACAGTTATATCACCACTAGAGCCTGTCTTGTCCGATAAATATTTGCTGAATGAAAGAACAAATTATCCCTATGGGAATCCCCATTTCACAAGAGGCAAATTAAGGCTCATAACCACATTTGGTTAAAATGGCAGTAAGTTGTATAGTCAGGATGCAAACTAAGGTCTTTGACTCCAGACTCAATTAAACTGACCAAATATAGTCTTTTTAGATAAAAGCCAAATAAAATAGTTAACTGTGGAAGTTTCGGGGTCCATATAAAATAAATATGTTAACAGGGGCACTCTCAGCAATTCTTCATTCATGAGATACCTTGAGGAATAAATTGTGTTAATTATCACTGACTGTTTCCAAACTTTATTTCCACTGATCTTTAGTCCTGAGTCATATATAGCACCTTTTGATATTCATTTTAATCTGATTTTGTAAAAACAATGTAACATCTTAAATATCCAATTAGTCATTTTAACAACTGAGATTGGCCAGGCGCGGTGGCTCAAGCCTGTAATTACAGCACTTTGGGAAGCTGAGATGAGAGGATTGCCTGAGCCCGCAAGTTCGAGACCAGCCTGGACAACATGGTGAGACATCATCTCTACAATAAAAATAAAAAAATTAGCTGGGCATGGTAGTGCGTGCCTGTAGTTCTGGCTACTTGGAAGGCTGAAGTGGAAGGATCGCCGGAGGCCAGCAGGTCGACGCTGGGGTGGCCGTGAGTGTGCCACTGCACTCTAGCCTGGGTGACAGATTGGGACTCCAACTCAAAAAACAAACAAACCCCCCCCCCCGAGATTGTACTTTTCAAATAGCATTTACATAGGCATATTCTGAAAATCTAAAAGAAAAAAGATACAGATTAAAAATAGAGAACCAATGTTTCATAGTTTGGTTAAATAAAAAGTCAAAAGATAAATGTTGTTTCAAAGCTTTAAAATTTTGAATGTAAGATCCAGTGTCTTCAGGATCTAAATAACATGTCTCTGTCATTGATATAATTAACATAATGGGAATGGCAAAACCCTCTTGCCTCACATGTACAAAGAAGATTCAGTAGTAAATCAGTGAATTCCAAGCTTTGAAAAAGACAATTTCCTAAAGCATATTTTATCATAATTTACAATTTTAAAGTATGTGTATTAATGTTTAATGACTATATATAGGCTCTAAGTTTTATACTCACTCTTTCATGATATTTTTGGTTCTTTTCCCTAAGTTTCTTTATTTGAAACATGAATCGCTCTACTGCATTTTCCTTTATCTGACAGCTAAGAATAAAGATAAAGTGTGTTAGAATTATTTATCTTAGAAAAAATTAATGAGGCAAAATTTAAAAATTAGACTAAATCATTTGAATTGAAGTAAGTTATTAAATATATTGTAAAAACCCACTTAGGGATAACAACCTTTCCTAAGTGATTTTGTGTTTCTGAATCTATTTGAATCACTAAAATATATATTGCAGAGATAACTTCAAAGTTTTTAGAAATCAATTACTGTTCATATTTTATAGTTGTAATTATTATGCTTCTCTAATTATGCTTAAAGAAAACCTAGGAGAAGGCACACAGAAAATATGCTTTCTAGAAGTCTAAAAATGTACAGACAAACTCAAGACTTTATAAGGGTAAGCACATTTACTGAACTCCCAACAAATGTTTGTTGAGCATCTGTAAGATATGAAAGAGAGAGAGAAATTTATCTTTTTCTAAGATAAATAAGAAAGACTTTGGTAGGGCTATTTGACAACTATTTGGAGTGTTAAGTATAGCGTATCTATCTCTATATCACTAGGACCTAATACATCTTATTACTTTAAATCTGAGACCAAAATAAGTCAATCTAAATGCTTTGCCTAAAGTCCTTGCCTTAATTAAAAGCAAAAATAAAAATATAGCACTTCTGTGGTGTAGTGAACAGAGGAGTGGTTAAAGAATGAGAAACTTTGGTTTTAAATCTTATTCTTACCACTTCTTGCCTACGTGATCTTAGGTAAAAATTTCCAAGCTGTCAAATGAAGAGAACAATACCCAGCTTACATATTACTGTAAGGATTAAAATGAAATCATACGTGAATGTTTCTAGCATGAAGTAAGTACTTAGTAAATTTCAGTTGAATCTTATATCCTTAGCCCTTTGCCCCAAATACTTAGTAGAGAGAAAAAATAAGGCCTTTCCTTCTAATAATGGGAAAATGCAACATAAAAACAAAACGAGCAAATCCTTTAGTGGCAGAAAAGCTTTTTGGATACTATGAAACTTGGATTTTGGTCCTGGTTTTCCACTCGCTGCCTAAGGACACTTAACCTGTTTAGGCCTTGGCTTACTCTTCTACGAGAAGAGGATTGAAGGAGATGAGCTCTGTGGTTCCTTTTCAGTTCCCAAATTCTGCAATTTAAATGAGCAATAGTCCTTTTCATACAGTCATACACAGAACATAGATTTAATGAAATGCCATTAGGCACCCAGCACTGTTTTAGGCTTTATATAATTTCAGATAACACCTTCATGATCCTTGCCTTCAAGGAGTACTTTTTACAAGAGAAGTAAACACATAAACATATTGTTTATATATTGTGATAAACACCAGGAGGCAAATATAGGATATGAGAAGGACAGTAAATGGAAAGGACTACTATAGATAGAGTAGACCCCACACAATAGCAGCAAATAAGGCTCTATGTTGCCCAAGCTGGTCTCAAAGTCCTAGGCCCAAGCAATCCTCCCAAGTAACTGGGATTACAAATGCACACCACCATGCCCCGTTCACCTTTTACTTTTTACCTAAAGCTTAGTTGTGCAACAGTTTTGAAAATGAGAGTTTACCTCCCATTTTAAAGGAGAAAAATAAAAGTACTATAAATGAAAATTATCTGAAAGGAATCTATGCAAATATGTGCAATTACTAATTTCTGCAATTACAAGTATGGTAATATTATTTCTTTGCCTGGGTAAAACAGGCAAATGAATCTCAAGTATGTGGTCTTCATTGGTTAAACTGAGTCTTTGGATACGCTCGCTTGTTGAAAGACTGACTCCCTGGCTCCGGATGAGAGCTTCCTTGGTGACCACAGCATGTAATGATTGGGCTGGAGGTCACATCCAGCCCTAAACCCAGATACTGCACTAAAAACATTATTTGTTGTTTATTTGAAACAACAGATATTCTAATTTAATTGGGCATCCTGGATTTCTATTTGTGACATCTGGCAACTCACACTTAAGCTTACCACCCCTCCCCTTGGAGCATTTAGAACAAACGGCCCAGGGTTTAGTCTCTTGTTCATTTTACAGGGAGCAGTTCAGGATGACCTGAGTGGCATCAACAGGCCTCAGAGGGAGTTCTGAGATAAATGTTCTGGCAGCTTCACTGACCTCCTCGTGGAGCTCTCAGTAGCTGCAGGTCTAATTTAGCTGAGCCTCTCTTTGGAATCTACTTCAACCTTCTCAGGCCTCATGAAGAGGTGGATTTACCAACAAGCAGTTGAAGTTTAACTTGAAAATTCCACACTATCAGCCACTGTGCGTAATTCAAGCTTCACTGTTCTCTGTATGCTTTTTCCTTTTCATATCTCCCCCATCTTCTTAGTGTCCTAGTAGCACACAAGCCACACACTTACTTCAGTGAGATAATAAGTGGGATATGTATTAAAGTAGTTTGAAAAGGATATAGCACTATTCTAAGGCACAGTGATAGTGTTAGTAATATAACGTGTCACCTTTCCCCTTCCCTCCCTATATCACTAGAATGTTAACAGTGTGTCAACATTCCCCCTCCATGCAATTTAACTGAAAATTAAAACAGATAAATTTGAATTCCAAAAAATCTATACTTTTGTATCTTCTTAAAACCCATAACCATACCCATACCTATTTCTATATCTCTATCCATATTTACTGTAGAAAACTTTGGTGGGAGGCAACAAGAATAAAGGAAAAAATAAAAACCATCATTACTCATAGATAATCATTTTATAGATTTTTAACACTGACAGCATAAGCTATTCACAAACAACACAGAGATTCATGACCTTACGTTCATAGGCTAGAGGTCCTATCCTATGGTCCTATGGTCCTTCATACGCTAGAGGTCCTATAATATCCATGAAATTATCTCATCAAAGGGCAGAATTGCTTTATTACTAATGTTTTCAGAATATCTGAACAATTTACACTCATTGGTGGGTAACAAATACTTGTTTCATGGTAGGTATTTCACCACTGAGTATTAGGACTTTAAAAAATTTCCTGTGTTAAAAGGCAAAAATAGACTGGGTGCAATGACTCATGCCTATAATCCCAGCACTTTGGGAGGCCGGGTGAGAAGGTCACTTGAGACCAGGAGTTCAATATCAGCCTAGGCAAAATAAGGAGACTTTGTTTTCTACAAAAAAAAAAAAAAATTAGCTGGGCATGGTAGTGCATGCCTATAGTCCCAGCTACTCGGGAGGCTGAGGCAGGCAGCCCAGGAGGTCAAGGCGGTGGTGAGCTGTTATTATACCATTGCACTCCAGGCTAGGTGACAGAGTGAGAACTTGCCTCAAAAACAAAACAAACAAACAAACAAACAACTGGCAAAAATAATATATTTTTTGTTTTCATGACTGTGATTTTGCTCTCAGACAGTATCCAATAAAATTTACTGCACAAAGAATTTCTGAGCTCATACTATATACCAGGCTGTGCTGGGCATTAGTACATACAAAGAGAAGTAAAATACAGTATTTAAGGATTTTGTCACAGTTTGTCTAAGGAGATTCAAGCAGAAAGGACATTCCAAATCTTTTCCCTTACCTTAAATATTCTAACTGCCTTATCTGTCCAAAACCACAAATCCCTAAACCACTCATGTAAATAAACTTGACTTTCGCAAAATCTACATTTTAATCTGTTTTTTTTTTACCCACAACCATGTCCACACCAATTTCTATATATATATCCATACTTACTGTAGAATAGTATGGGAAACACAAGAATAAAGGAGAAAATGAAAAACATCATTACTCATAGATGGTCATTTTATAGATTTAACATTGGCAGTATAAGCTCTTCATAAACAACCATAGAAATTCATGACTCTTCTCTTGGGACAAATCTGAAAAGAGTTCAAATACTCAAAAACTATTAATTAACTACCTACCATGTGCTCACTGCTTTGCTAGGAGCTGAGATTGTATAAGAGCAATATAAGATGCTACCAGGGGATTCCTGGACAATCTTTCCTCAAGTGGTAGGAGGGGGTATCTTGGCTATTTGTCATGTGACAAAAGTTCTGTCACCTGGGAACATGTGAAATGAGTAAACTGTCACCAGCAGAGCATGGTATAGCAAGGCCTTGTCTGTTCCAGTCCACTAGTTCTAACAAATGAAAAGCAACAAAGGCATGGGATGTCCAGTTTATATCTTGCACAAGATCACGAGAATTTTTAAAAGTCTGACTTTTTGTAAACCTTTGTTAAAGAGGAGAAAGACTGGTCTCTGACTAACCCAGAAGAGAGAGAAACAGCTGTAACTGGATGTCAGACTGTGGGAACAAATTAGAGACTAGGCTGTATTCATAGAACCTGACTTTTGTCCAGCTCTTCTTAGTTGAGATGAAGGAAGCTTTCAGTTATGTTGAGAAGCAAGTGTGAATAGTATCTGGTTATTAGTTAACATTATCTCAAGTAGAAAATAAAAGAAAACCATTAACCGTGCCTTCCAATGGATGTTTCTCTCTTAGTGTTCGGACCCTTTCACTCATTGCCTCCTACAAAGAACATATGAATACATTTGGAGTCACTCAAGGAAAAGGAGTTTCTCTGAATGTTTTCCCTTAAACATAGACTTAGTCACTCTGCCTTATGGGATCTAAAGTTTCAACCTTATGCCCCTCCAATAAATGACTTCCTATTTCCAAATCCCAAGTGTTCTGCTTGATCTGATCCTTGCCTAAATCATCAGTGTCTGTTCTTGCCCCCTCTCCCTCACTTGGCATCTCTCAGTTTCTGGACTGTGATAAACTCTCTCCCACCCTAGGGTCTTTTCCATAAATCATTTTCTCAACCATTCTGCGTTTCCATGACGCCTGTTCCTCTCCCAGAGACCAGCCCAAACATGACACTATCAAATAAGCTTCTCCCAACCCCTCTGACCAGGTCAAGACCTTTAGTTATGCCATTAAACAGCACTTTACTCTTTTCTTTCATAGTGTCTTCATTATAGCTATGTAGCTTTTAAGAGTTCGAATTAGTTGCTTTAAGTCTGTCTCCTGTGCTTCATCAGGGCAAAGACCATGTGGTCCTGTATGTTGCTGTACTCTAGTACTTAGCGCTTGCCTTGCACTTGGCAAACACTCAAATCCCTGTTGAATGAGTGAATGAATGAAATTCATTTCAGTCTTATCTAACATGTATCCATTCATTCCTACGAATTACACATTAAAACAGCCTCCGTGTGTCAAAAGCTGATCCTCACGGGGCTTTCTATTAGTCAGAACAAAACATAAACATAGAATAAGTGTCGCCTCTAGTTTCACCTCAAGTATCTCTAGTGAGATATTATGAAATGTTATTATTAAAAATAATTCTTTCTAAATCACTTGGATTTGACCTGTAGCCATTTAGGAATAATACAAATTGGAATGTCTAAGAAATGAAAAGTTACCTAAAGGGAAGTTTCTTCTTCCATTCCTTTATAAATGTAGACTAACCATTCTATGTTATATTTTAAGAGGTAAGCCAGCAAGCTCTTGTGTACATAGGGGATAATAACCAAAGGACGTAGCTAAAAGCCCTTTGACGAATGTTGCTTCATAGCTATGACTTAGACATACAAAGTTTCAAACACCTGTACAAATAAGCACATAGCATAGGAGTGAAATTATGCCTCCAACCCACCTCTATCCTTCTGGCAGCTGTGAAGTGTATCACTTACACTTGAAATTATATTGCATCTTGACACCGCCATTTATACACGGCAGCTTTTAGATTTCAGAATATAAACTTACTGATAGTCCAGGAGTGCTTCGCTGGTAGGCAACTTGACTTCTTTTGGTGACCCACCATTAGTATCCTTTTTATTTGCTTTTCCTGAGTTTTCCATTGTGCTGGTTCGCTATTGAGAAATATACCTATTTAGAAAAGAGACATAGGAAAAGTGAATAAATCCCATGTTTGCCTCTCTACTTGTTTACTCTAGATAAGACACCGCTGGGACTAAAGACTGTCTTTTCTATCATGACTACTTCCATGTTCCTGGATGTAACATCAGTCACGATGCTGGAACATCTTGGATCAACTGAATTCTTGAATCTGGTGAATCCTGTTTAGCTTAGGTACGGTATTTCCTCCACTTAAAACTTCCTAAAAGACTTGCTCTCTTATGTCATCCACTACATCTGTAGCCCCTATCAAGCTCCTTTAAGGGCAAGTGACTAAAATTTTCAATCATTTTATTTCTTCACACTGCTTGGCAGAGTGTACTGCACATAGCAGCAGCTCAATAAATGTCTATTAATTTTTTAAATTAAACAAAACCAAACAACCATTTTCTTTGAACACCAAGAATCTAGGATCCAAAAGAATTAGAACCAGAATCCAGAAGAATCAAGTTTGGCCAGAGTTGTTATAAGAAGCAAATAAAAGCACATACTGTATTTTTTTTAATGGTTGAGATTTACAATTACAAATAATGATGCTATATTGTTAACAATAACTGTTTATTAGCTATTAATCGCTTTTCCACCTAATAACAAAAAAATTATCCAGAACAATATGTTTGTTGTTGTTGTTGTTGTTGTTTTTGAGTTGGAGTCTCACTCTGTCGCCCAGACTGGAGTGCAGTGGCCGCTCCCGGCCACCGCAGCCTCGACCTGTTGGGCTCCGGCAATCCTTCCGCCTCAACCTTCCAAGTAGCCGGAATTACAGGCACGTGCTACCACACCTGGCTGATTTTTTGATTTATTGTAGAGATGAGGTCTCGCTGCCCAGGTGGGTCTCGAACCCGCGGGCTCAGGCAATCCACTCACCTCAGTCTCCCAAAGGCGCGGGATTACAGGCTGAGCCACCGAGCCCGGCTGAACAATATGTTTTTAAAGGAAAAATCAAGAACTACTGTTCAGAGATGTTTATAGTAAGCAAGAACACTTCATGGATTAGGTTTGGGCACAACTATTCTTTCCAGATTATAGCCTTCCTTAACAGATTTTTTTTAGATTAGAAAATACAGTTTATTTAGAAAGTAAATTAAAGACAGAGAAAGAGGAGATTCACCCCCCACAAGGTAGGGGAGGGGGCCAAAGCCAGGAAACATGGTGGCAGCCATAGTTCCAAGAGTGCATGGCCATACTAGCGTCTAGTAAGGCAATGGCCCTTAACAGATTTTTTAACTTTAGATTTCTACTAATCTCAAAAGAGTAAGTGCCTAGTCTCCAATCAATGTATCAGTAGTTTGGTGTGGTAGAAAGCAGTTAACTTTTGTAATTATTTGTTTAAATGGCTGGAAACTCTCATTAAAGTGGGGAGAATGTAATCCCTGTGCATTACTATACTTCCCCACCTAGCACCACAGACACACAAAACAAGTACTTGTCAAATGGATACGTGAGTGGATGCATGAATCAATCATGCAACATACGTTTAATCCTAGATCCACCACCTGTTATCTGTGTGACCTTGAGCAGGTTACTTCATCTTTTTGAATTTAAATTTTGTCATCTGTAAAGTGAGAACGGTAACAGTCTTACTCTGTGAACTATTGTAAGGATTAAATAATCTAGTATTTAAAGTACCTAGCACAGCATCTGACATATGGAAAGAGCTTAATAAACATTGTGTCCTTTCCTCTTTCTCCTCAGTTGTAGCTCTGGATCGTGCTTCTTCAGATTCTAACTAAAGCACAGGATGTCTGTCTACTGCCAAGTATGATGATATGTAGAAAGACTAATCCATGAGCTTTGCTGTTGTCAACCTTTATCACTGATTTGGATCACTAGATCGGCCGTCTAAATAAATCTTACACATTCAGACCCACACTGGAAAAACTCAATAAAGTGAAAACACTTTTTCTCTGTAGACATGCTGCTCACATACTCAGACCTCCAGCAAGACCGTCTCTGTGTCTGAGACTTTGCTTTTCTAACCAAGTGTGTACACTTCTACATGCTAAAACATTTGAGCACATCTGAATGCAAATGCACTACAATACCTTCCAACTGAAAAGCACAGAGGTGACACAACAAAAAGGCTTAATACATTAATACTGATCTATTAAGTCCTTTCTTCTTAAATAAAGTATTAAGAATAATGCAATACGCTCTGTACCAAAATGTGTCTTCATTATACCATTAAAGTTCACAGACAGTTATCAGCTAAGAAAAAAATTGCTCTTTTGTCTAAGATGCGGAGTTGAATTTTTAAATCATTTTCTATTTTTGAGTTAGAGTTTTAACTTGACTGTTGCACAAAAAGATAACATGCTGACCAATGTTTCATTCTACAATAACTTACTACTTAATAATTATTTTACTAGAAAATATTTTATTTAAAACTTAAAACAAATGTCAACATTAATCACTTTCTAAGCCCTATGGAAGAGATCAAGTATTATGGTTTCCACCTGTGGTACCCATCTGGCCCTGGAGGAAAAATGACCTCATCTTGCTCAGTTACCTCAGCAATCTGGCTCTTATGTTTTTAACTCTCTGACTAATGTTTAATTAGTTACCTAACTGTAGCTCATGGCAAAGGACTTTAATAAAATATGAGTGAAAATGTGAATCCATTAAAGTACAAATGATTTATGTATAAACTACATTAATATTCACTGCTTTACATACTTTCAAGAAGATTAGTAAACCAATTGGATTGCCTACTTAATAGTTGCATCTTTGCAATGACCTCATGACAGTACCTAAAAATGTACTTTTTTTTCTGTCACCCAGGCTGGAGTGCAGTGGCACTATCATGGCCTACCACAGCCTCAACCTCCTGGGCTCAGGCAATCCTCCTGCAGCCTCCCAAGTAGCTGGGACTACAGGTGCATGTCACCATGCCCGACTAATTTTTTGATTTTCAGTAGAGCCAAGGTCTCACTATGTAGTATAGGCTGGTCTCAAACTCCTGGGTTCAAGAAATCCTCCTGCCTCAGCCTCCCAAAGTGCTGGGATTACAGGCGTGAGCCACCACACCCAGCCCCTCAAAATGTACTTTTGCATTTGATAAAGTCTTATAAACAATAGGGCGTTTCATACACTTATAAGGATTTACAGTTCCTGACCACCCAGAAGATATCTATCTCAGTAAGGGTGAGAATCCTAGAAAAACATTCACAAAGTAAATGCAACTAGCTTCCAGGAAGGTTACACTTAGAATAATTCCTGACGAATGGACACCTAATCTCCTTGTCAGTAACTGCAAACATCTAGTCAATGCCTACTCATACAGAGGATCAAGAGACCCAAACTCTGTCCCTCAGTTATAAACAGCTGTGAGACCTTGGCTTCCCCTGGCTTCAGTTTTCTAATCTATAAAATGAGGATCTCTAAAGTCACTTTTAAAAGTCTTTGAAGGGCCAGCTTGGCAAAATTTTCATTTGCTGTTTGATACCTGTGCTGTACCTGGCCCTCAGTTATAAAATATAGAAGCAGCAAGAATCCCTACTCAGACTGATAGGAAGAAAGTAGAACACTGTGGCCGAACTTTAAAAAAAAATTACGAGCAACATTAAAAGACTTTAGAAAAATCATGCAGGTAATGCTAGGGAGATCTTCACCCAGAATATGACCCTTCCTCTGTGCCCATGTGGGTTTTTCCTCTCCCAACTGCGTCTGGGCTCTCTAAACATGCACCATTGAGTGAGGGCAGTCCAGCATCCTGGGTTTCAAATACTTAGGTCTCTGGCCTTTCCAGAGTCTACTCCATAGTCATCTTCTGCCAGAAAATGTTTTGATAAATATTTCCCAAATACTTCTTAGTAAAAAGTAAGAAATGTCTTTAATAAAAATGGACATATAACCATTATCTTCTTCAAATGTACTGTTGTTGCACAATGCTTTGACTGCAAAATTTCCCTTATGACACAGAGTCTCAGAATTATGGCTCAATGTTTAGAAACCTCAAAATGACTTTTTCATGACTTTGTGAAGTCACAAATATCCAGAAGCATCCTAATGACCCCTTTCATAATTTTGTGAAGCCTGGGAGAAATGGCACAGCTCTGCCCCAATACCTTTCTGGAGAAATAAAATGGATCCTGAGGCTTGTTAACTAATGTTTTATATAAATGTAGATTAAAATAAAAGATATTTACTTAATAGCATTAGTAATGACCAAAGTTCTCAGTATGACTCCTCAGGGGATGAGAGTATGCTGTAGTTAAAAGATCTCTATATATGGGTACTGAGAGCCTTGCAAACTAGCCTTGGCTAATTCATTAACTAGCTAGAAGCTCACCCATTAATGCACAATTTTCTACTGCAGTTCCCAAATTATGTTGAACTCCTAGCTATAAACTGTAAGACTCATGGTAGTAATAATAGTAATAGTAGTCATGCAGTACTTCCAAAAGCCTTGTTAAAGAGCAGTCAAACTACAAGGCACATACCTCACTGTATGTTAATTGCAAGGCTGAAGCACACATATATCCAAAAATATTCATAGCACTCATCTTCCACAAAATTTAATTCCTTTAATGCTAATAACTACTCATTACTTCAAAAAACCCTGTCTTTGGGAATTCAAAAATAGACATTGTACCCTTTAATATTCAATTCTAAATTTGTTTCTAGGCAGCCTCTTCTGGTACTAACTAGTGGAAAATAATAATCTCTTTGTGGTCCCCTAGCAATTTATACACTATATATATTTTTTACAACTTATTACATTATGACTTGTAATAGCTATTTGTGTTCACTTAATTTTCCTTCTGAAGATTTCAAGTTCCTTAGGACCTAGCTAGAATTTTATCCCTCTTAAGTGAGACTAGGACCTTTCATAGGAAACTTATAAAATTTTTTCCTATTTTAATATAATAAATAGGGTATGAGGAATGAAAATCATTCAACAGAGATCCAAACTCTGTCCTTCAGTTACAAACAGCTGTGAGACTGTGGCCTCCCCAGGCTTCAGTTTCCTAATCTCTAAAATGAGGATTAAAAAAAAAAATGAGATCTCTAAAGTCACTTTTAAAGGTCTTTGAAGGGCCAGACTGGCAAAATTATCACTTGCTGTTTGATATCTGAAATCACTTAAATCAAGACAAAGTTCACTGATTGACTAGGTTATTCAATAACAATTTATGGAGCACCTACAGTAGACTTGGAAAAGAATGATGATCAAACTGGTCTGAAAAAATAAAAAAGATAGATGTTGGTACATAGGTCAGCATGTTCCATGAACATAAACTGAATAAATATTTGATTCGAATGATTGACTTGCAAATACTACATGCTTTTATTTTACCATTGGATTTATTTGTTTGCTGATAAGGTTGCATATATCCCAACTTTGGCAAAAATAAATTACTTTTACTTTCAAATTTTCACTTATGCCAGAACACATTTTTTAATAACATTAGAAATGGTCTCCAATATATTTTTAAAACCCCTAAATTCATTCCAACCCTTTTAGTAGTGATACCACCAAAAAGTTATTTTTTAAAAATTCAGACCCTTTTTTGCATAGATTATGCACACATAGCTCAAAACAGTGTTAAAATGTAAAACTCATCCAGTTTGGAGATATAATGTTATAGCCACATATTCAAATAAAGGTTTAAAAAAATCTACAATAAATCAAAAATCAGCCGGGCGTGGTAGCGCATGCCTGTAATTCTGGCTACTCGGAAGGCTGAGGCGGAAGGATCGCCGGAGCCCAGCGGGTCGAGGCTGCGGAGGCCGGGAGCGGCCACTGCACTCCAGTCTGGGCGACAGAGTGAAACTCCAGCTCAAAAAAAAAAAGAAAAAGAAAAAGAAAAACTAGATGAATGACATTTTCAACTTTCACTTGATGATTGATGATGTACATTACATTAGCATGTATTTTCCTTACCAAGGCAAATCCTTTAGTCAGTGATACATTTTTTTTTTTTACCGCAGATCCCAAGTTACATTGGAGTCTTAGTTTTAAAATTGGTCTGTCTCCTGATTCAGAATTGCTAATAACAAGTCATTGGAAAGGCAGTGTATTGGCCTAACTTTTCTAGAGCCCAAACTATACTTTTTCTTTTCTTTTCTTTCTTTCTTTCTTTTTTTTTTTTTTAGAAAGCAGGATTTATTGAGAGGACAGAAAAACTCCCACAGTGGGAGGGGACCCCAGGGGGTTGCCCTCAAACTTTACTTTTCCTAACTCTTGCTGTCCTTCAGTTTTAGATATGTCGAAAAAGAAAAACATAACCGTGACAATAATATTGAGAGGATAACGAAAATGCCTAATGCTTTTATACTCTGATGGTGGAGGAGATGGAAAAGGCTTCTCTCTACTCAAGAACGGTGGTGTAATAAAGAGGTGGCCCGAGGAAGGCCGTGAGCGATGATCACCTAGACTGGTAGACGTGCAGGCTTATTGTTTCCCTTCTCTGCCTTCACAGGAATTTTTCTTTTGTCTTCCTCTCCCTCCTCCTTCTCCTGCTCCTCCCCTTTCTCCCCCCCCCCCCCCCCCCCCCC